GAAAAGAATCAAATAAAACCTCCATGGCATATGGAAGCAAAACTCCTTTAACTATATTAGGAAAATTTGAGGCCAAAATAAGTGTTCATGATAGCAGCGAAATTGCTACATTCTATGTTATAGAAGGTGGAACAAACAATTTACTGGGAAAAAATACATCGGAAGCTCTAGGCGTTCTGAAGATTGGGTTAGAATTGGTGAACAACATATCCATGTTTCCAAAGTTCAAAAATGTCTTAGTCGATATTCCATTCGACGACAGTATTAAAGCAATTTGCCAACCATACAGGAGGATACCAATTCCCCTCGAAGCGAAGGTAAATGCTAAACTGGAGGAATTATTGAATTCAGACATTATCGAAGAGGTGGTAGGTCCATCACGATGGGTTTCACCATTGGTTCTGGTTCTGAAAGGTTACGGGGATGTTAGAGTTTGCGTAGACATGAGAGCTGCAAATAAAGCGATAATTCGGGAAAACTATCCACTTCCCACCATGAATGAACTTCTCCCAAAATTCAACAAGGCACATATTTTCTCTGGATCAGACATAAAAAATGCCTTTCATCAGTCAGAGATATCACCAGATTCACGATTCATCACCACGTTCATCAGCAACAAAGGTCTTCTCCGTTATGAAAGATTGATGTTCGGAATTTCCTGAGCATCGGAAATTTTTCAAAAAACATCAGAACGTATACTCATCAAATGCGAAGGTACCGTCAACTTTATAGATGATATACTAATATTTGGATGATATAAAAATGAACACAATTCAAGATTACGAAGAACACTGAAAACACTTGAGGAGAATGATGTCTTATTGAACGAAGATGAATGTATATTTGGGGTCGAAAAGGTACAGTTTTTGGTTCACACTTCATCAGCTGATAAAATAAAACCCCTGGACAGCTATGTAGGAGTTATAGAAACCTTCAAAGCACCAAAAACGATCGATGAAATCCAAAGTTTCTTAGGCCTGGTTAACTACATAGGCAAGTGGATACCAAATTAAGGGACGTTGACAGAACCATTTAGGCAGATATTGAGAAATAAACTCAGAAAAAACGTCGATATTGGAGAATACTGAAAGACAGAACAGCAGCATGCATTCCAAACAATCAAACAAAGCCTAACACACATAAAATCATTGGGATATTATACAGAACACAAGTCATCGCAGATGCTAGTCCAGTAGCTTTAGGATGTATATTGATACAATTCGATAACAGAGGACCTTGAATCATAGCGTATGGGAACAAAAGCCTGACGAATTGTGGGAAGAAATATTGCCAAATGGAAGAAGAAGCCTTGGCCCTGGTATGGGCCGTCGAACACTTCAGAGTTTATTTGTATGGTAAAAAAGAATTCGAACTTGTAACAGACCACAAACCTCTGGAAGTCACTTTCGGACCAAAATCTTAACCAAATGTCCGCATAGAGCGTTGGATCTTGCGTCTCCAGTCCTATAATCAATTATAAGGTAATCTATAAACCAGGAAAATCAAACATCGCAGACCCGTTATCAAGACTCTGTCCCGAAAATGTTTCCAAACCTTACGATGACGAATCAATAAACAAATTGATCGAATACTCAAGACCTATAGCAATCTCTCTAGCCGAAATTGAATACCACTCTGAAATAGACGAAGAAATTGGTAAGGTCAGAAAGGGTTTATTCGATGGTGATTGGGATAAATCAGTAAGCGTGTACAAAATTTTTCACTCGGAATATTGTTAATGGGAAGTGAACTGGTGATACCAAAGAAGTTACGTCAAAACGTTCTTTTAGCAGCCCACGAAGGTCACCCAGGAATCTCAGCCATGAAAGCCAGGCTAAAAACGAAGCTATGGTGGCCCAAAATTGACAATGACGCGGAAAAATTAGTGAGAACATGCAAGGGCTGTATTTTAGTTTCAACACCAGCTCTGCCCAATCCTATGAAACGGCGAGAACTGCCAGCTTAACCGTGGATTGATATAGCAATCGATTATCTGGGTCCATTACCTAGTGAGGAATACATACTAGTTGTCATAGATTACTACAGTCGTAACGAAGAAATGAAAATAACGAAGGATATAACCGCCAGGAAGAGAATCGACTTACTTCAGGAAATGTTTTCAAGGATTGGCTACCCTTCATCAATAACAGCTGATAACGGTCGACAAATTGCAGGCCAAGAACTGAACAAATTTTGTCGTGAAAGTGATATAACTCTCTCTCACACTAAACCATATTGGCCACAAAAAAACGGGGAAGTGGAGCGACAGAACCGAGACCTACTGAAACGAATAAAAATGAGTCAGTCGCTAAATCAAGATTGGAAAAAAGAACTACTCGACTATTTGGTTATGTACAATAGCACACCACATTCTGTCACGGGAAAACCACCTGGTGAGCTTTTCTTTGGTAGACAGTTCAAAGATATAATTCCAAGCTCAATATATCTCGAAAATGAACTAGAAGATGGAGTAAGAGATAATGATGAATTACAAAAAGAGGAAGGTGAAGAATACAGTGACAAAAAAAGGAGAGCACAGGAAGATAATTTTCATGAAGGTGATAAGATATATATAAAAGACATGCGGAGAGAAAACAAAACCTGTCCTACCTTTATTCCGGAATCCCATACGGTGATAAATGAAAAAGGAGCCGATATCCAAGTCAGAAATGATGAGACAAGTCAGGAACTAAGGAAGAACGTGATACACCTGAAAAAATCGGAGGAGAATGGAATGTATCACCTCAGATAGGTGGAAGAACCAAAAGAAAATAATTGACCATGTAACTGACGTTGACAACTCGTAGTTTCCTCTGATGAACAATTATCAAGAATTTTTTTGTGTTAGTCAAAATGTTGGACCCTAGCTGTGAGAAAAACTATTGTAATGAAGAAATGAAAAACATGGGAGAGATGTAGTATGCAGATTAGCTAATAAATGAATGATGCACACACTACTGACTCATCGATTGATAACGACTTCGATGATCGATGGTTGAGTCAGTCAAAAGTTGTTTCATTCAAACGTGCCTTATATCTCGTGTTTAAACATAATACATTCCCAATGAACGAGCATTCTTAACTCGATATATTCGCGATTTTTTGTCTGAAAACGGTCATTTGCCTCGTGGCAATGAATGCAGAATTCATTCCAATGATCAAATTGCGACTATCATATAAACATGTACCACAAACACTCTACTCAGGAAGATGAAACTGCATTTATCATGCGATGGGTTTTGTTTTTCCGGAATCCCTTTTAAAAACCACGAATTTGATAATGAAAATGTGAACCAACCATTATGCATCATGATATTTGAGTATAGAGTTACAAATATCACCTTTTTTTTCGCCTATCTTCTGGATGGCATTAAGAACAATTTCCTCTTCTTTCCATCATATTGGACAACTTATATGTATCACAATGTATGACACATCTTTTTCTATTATATAATACAACTATAAATATGAATTTCTTGAGATTTGGTAATAAATAGTGGTTTGTTCACATTTTCATCATCAAATTTATGTTCCTCAGACAAAAATAGGTAAGTACCAGACAAAATTTTCGAAAAAAAAAAAAACATGGCATGATAAATGCAGTTTTACCCTTTGAAGTTACTGTTTCGAGTACAACGATCAATTGGGTAAAAAATCCAACAACAGAAAAGTGAAAACACTCACTGGCTTATTTCTCAGGTGATAGGAATTCTCCAAGATGAATAAAGGTGATTATAATAAACGGCATATCTATAAAAAGGAAATACATTTTCCACAATTTCCTTCTGCTCAATCTCACGATGAGTTCATGTTCTGCGGGCCCTGTATAAATAGGTGTGAAGTTTACCTTCACCACAATTCCTGCCGATATATCTGATCCGAATGGGTTGCTGTAGGTGGGTATTTGTGTTCTATTCTGGTTTTTGCTTTGAAACTTCGTTTTTCCATAATAAAATCGAATGGGATGCAAAAAAGGGCTCAGTTGACGACTGGCAACCTTTTTCAACCAGAAGCCCTCGAAAATAAGAAGTGAAATCGTGCCTTATGATGATTTAGAACTAATAATTGGAATCCGCGGTCGCCTTATAGCGCCATAAGTGTTTGTCGTTTTGGGCCGCTGGTTAGGCCTCACTAAGGTGACGTCACCACGGAGCATGCAAATCTCATTGTCTCGATGGTAACGGTTCAACACACATTTCGTTCAGCTCCCTAACATCATACTGATATTTTTGATTCCATTCAGAGACGATTCATTCAGCTGGTGGATATTGTCACGCTCACTTATCCTTCAACATCATTTCAACACTGTAGAAGAGTTAACAATCTACCCCTTTTATGGAAATACTACCACGGGATATTTTATCTACAGAACTCTTTTTTGCATTCATCAATGAGAGTACCACAATACCAGTTAGATGTATTTGACTGGCTCAGTCAGCATATTTTTCGTCGACAACTTCGCATTATCACGAACAACTCTACCCTAGAACTCGTTCGTCCATTGAACAGCAGAGCTCCGAAATATACAGTTGCAACTGTGAAATCAGAAGAGAACAAATATGTTGTGCCTAATTCACTGTTGCAGCACAAATTCACAGTTGATACTCAAAATTAGCACTAATGCACACTTGCGATTGTGAATTAGGCGAGAACTCGTTGAGAAAGTTTCTTTCGCATGACAGTTCAGACCTGTCGTAGATTTGTTGTCACTTCACAAAAAACGAAATGATTTCTATTCATTCGTTCATCCACAGAAAATATGAGAGAACATTACAAGACATTTTGAGAAATTTATGTTCCTCTTTCTCGATCAACCTCAAAAGTTTTATCATTATCATCATCAGCATCATCATTATTTATATCACCAATATTATCGATACTATAATCTGAAGTAGTAGATGGTCATCAATGATGCAGCACAACATGAGATTGAGAATATCTTCGCAGTTTTTATTGAAATGAAATAAGGTCATATTTGTATACAAGACAAATTTTATGTTTCAATGTTCTATTCCAGCATTTCTCAACATTTGGGAAAACATACTGTCCTTATCATTCATGAGTATAAGTGGATCTTCATACTCCACTATTTCACCTCTCTCCAAAACCATAACTTTATGGCAGTCTAGGATTGACTGCAATCTATGTGCAATGATGAAAACTGTACATGCAGAAAAATTCTCCACGATTGTTTTTTGGATCAAGAACTCTGTTTCTGGATCCATATTCGCAGTTGCTTCATCTAGAACAACTATCTTATTCTTGTGAATTATCGCCCTAGCGAGACAAATCAGTTGTTTTTCTCCAGAACTCAGATTTGTGTCCTCTAATCGCATTTCTAGATTAGGAATAATGTTATTCAAGTTCAGTTTTTGTATAGTCTTCCATATATCGTCATCGGTGAATTCATCGAGGGGATCGATATTTTGCCTCACTGTTCCAGAAAAAGTGATAGGGTCTTGGGGTATAATGGAGATGTGACGTCTTAAAAATGTCAAAGACAATGTTTTCGTTTCTACATCATCAATATAAATCTGCCCATCGAAATTGTATAGTCGGAACAGTGTAGATATGATTGAAGACTTCCCTGCACCTGTCCTACCGATGATTCCGATTTTCTGCTTCGATTTCACAGTGAAGTTTATATTCTTGAGAACTTTCTCATCGTTTTCTTCATATGATAGATTCACATTGACATAGTTGATTTCTCCCTTGTGTGGCCATTCGGAGATTTCAAGACCAGTTTTCTCCTCAGGATTCAAGTTTGTGTATTCCAGAACTCTTTCTACTGATGTCATCAAGTTTTCTACCTCTGACCATACCATCATGGCCATTTGAACGACCATACTCAAACTGCCAGCTTGAGTTATAGTGAGGCCAACGTCACCTGCCGCAGTATCTGCAAAAAAAGTTATTCTTGAAAGGAATTGGAAGATATCAGAGAATCCCTGTGAGCATAGAACAGTGTCAACCGTCAGATGTCTGCGTGGACAGATCTCATCAATCTGCCGAGAGAAATACCAATAAAAGTTGCACAAGAATAAGATTCAAATAAGGAATTGATGTAAAGAGGCCAAGGACATTGAAACAATATCCGACGATTCGATGACGTATTTGACATACAAAGAGATCAATATCATTAAAGATGTGATGACCTGATGAACTGTTTGCATTATACGAGATGTCTCTAGGAGAATTATTAAAATCATCAATTATTCTGAAATGTTAATTGCCTCTTCAGACACCAGTTATATGGAAAAGGGGATTATATCAATACCATAGACTTGAAGACTAGATATTGAAAAACAATATATTTGAGTCGATCTGTAGAATATTGTGGAATATTTTATGAATCATCACAATATTCGAGACTCAAAATTTGAATCTTTTCTCAGCATTGGACGTTTCGAAAACGGATCTGCTTTCGTTTTCGAGTGAGAATTTGATATTTTTCCTATACCTTCAGCTTAATTCCTCTCGTCCAAACCTTTTTCAATACAAATTGTCACTGACTAGCTAGTGAATTTTTCTCCTCGGCTATCTGATAGGGAAACACTGTGAACGCAGTGACATTTTGGGCAAATCATCTGATTTGTCCTTACTACACGTATATTGAAATGATATTCATATTCTCATTTTAAAGAAACGAGGAGAGAAAATCCCAGGAAATCTGGAATAATAAAAGTACCACCTCCTTGTTCAACCTATAGACAGAACAATATTTTTAGTTTCGAAATGAATATTGAAATGTATGGAAGGAGTATATTTGTATAAACTCTTATCTTGATGAGCTCGAGACATGAAATCCAAATCATTCGAGTCAGTGATGTGGGAATAATAATATCTTTCACAATTAAGTGATAACAATAATTTTATTCGAATCAACTTATATCGAATTCCAAACTCTCCCCAGTAATCTGGAGTCTATCTTTCAGCCATTCGTTGCCGCCCATTGAGAAAGTCCTAGAATATGCCGTATATAACCAAGTACTTGAATTTGTCAACGAAAATGAAATTCTTTTTGATAACCAATCTGGGTTTAGGAAAAAATATTCATGTGAATCGGCACTGCAGAGGTCTCTTAACTATATGATAAAAAAATTAGATGACAACAAGTATGTAATAGCTGTATTTTTAGATCTGAAGCGAGCCTTCGAAACCATTGACAGAAATATAATACTCAGTAAAATGAAAAGATATGGTATCGACGGCTATGTGTATGAATGGTTTTCAGATTATCTTAAAGGCAGAAAACAAAAAGTAAGAATTAATGACACTATCTCAAACGAAATATTAAACGATAAAGGAGTACCCCAGGGAAGTGTTTTGGGCCCCTTATTATTTATTATATATTTGAATGATATTAATTTATATGTTGACTGCGAATTTATCAACTTATTTGCTGATGATACGCTAATAGCCTGTAGCGACACAAACATAGACACTGCTGTGCAAAAAATGAATGTGATTCTCGAATCAGTTGATGAATTCATTAAAATCAACAAGTTAAAACTTAATGTAAACAAAACTACTGCTATGATTATTACTTCAAAGTACAAGTATGACAAAATTGATTTCAATAGGATTAATGTTAATATCAATGAACAAAATATTAAAATAAATAAAACAGTAAAATATCTAGGGTTTCAACTGGACTGTAATCTTACATATGAAAACCATTTCCAATATATACACAAAAAAATTTCAAAGAAACTATACTTTTTCTCTAGAATTTCAAGGCACCTATCATTAAATACCAAGATATTAGTTTATAAAACAATCATACAACCACACTTTGATTATTGCTCTTCAATTTTGTATTCCTTAAACCTGAACAAACAGTCTCAACTACAAAAACTACAAAATAGAGGAATGAGAATTATATCGAAAGTGAACCGATATACCTCTATAACCACGATGTTATCAACCTTGCACTGGCTTTCGGTATCTCAAAGACTATTATACCAGACAATGATATTCGTACATAAAATTGTTAATGATCTAGCAGCAACATATCTTAAACAATCTATAAGTTTCAACAGTGATATACATCAACACAACACTCGAAACAAGACTAACATACATATATACAGAACTAGTAACAAAAGCAGCATGAACTCAGTCTTCTTCAAGGGTTTTGATGCATACAATAAATTACCTTGCTCAATAAAATCTGCTTCATCCCTAAAAGTTTTCAAATCTAAGTTATTGCAATATATTTTTCAACAAGTGTAACTGAACTTTCAACTAAATTTTTACTGTATATATTAGTATCTTGATATATCTATTGTAGCATAATTTGTAATTTACCTACCATGATTAGAATAATAATTAAGGAATTTATTACATGTAATTGTTAATTTATTATTAGGAATGTCCTATTTACTAAATAAATGTTATTATTATTATTCTCCATGATAAACACAATTCTCATCTCTCTATAATATAACTGATACTTTAATGGAACTGACATCTGAGAATCCTTGTTATTGTGATATACCACAAGAATTTTCAAACCAATTCTGTGAGTAGTTCAAGTCTGTTTTCTCAACGATACATTCTCCTTCGGGTGTTATTCGAGGTCAAGAATTCTGAGCCATTGAATATCAAAGGAGGCGTTGAAGCTTCCGCATTTGTGTAGTTGAGTAATGTCAAAACTCACCTATCTCAAATAACAGGAATCTGGATATTATGAATGAAATGTAGAGGCAAGCTGAGAAGTCCATATAAAATGAGAAAGCCGTTCTAGAACACATCGAGGTATAATGAGCACTGGTGTACAAATCTTGATGTCTGTCAAATTCATCTCTCAGTATATTTTGTGCTCGGAAGGCTCTGATGGTTGTTAGTCCTTCTATGGATGAATTAAGATGTCCAACCAAAGGACTTCTTGCTGAAATATTGAAAATGAGAATACAATATAATATTATCCTTATTATTCTCATTCACGTACTCTTAGTTCAAGTTAAAGAATTTGTGCTTCGCATCTGCCCTTTTGCAAATGTTCTGATGATTCATTCATGAAGAACACTACTCGTATCATCAGGTATATCACTTTTATACTGTATGGAATATATTTCGATGACACCTCAACTATTTGAAATTTATATATGAGTATTATGTCAATATAAATGCATAGAAAGAAGACTATTTGAATTATCTGAGCCCACATTTCAAACATTTTTCACTCACCCTTTGGTTGCATTTGTCATAAATTGCTCTGCTATGATCCACAAGTTGAATAAATGAATAGAATAATCTCTTGCCATTCAACTGACCTATTCCACAGATGTTGCTTATTGTAACAGTTCAGGAATGAAGATCATCAGTATACTATTTGAGAAAATCTCTGCAAAGTTTCGAGACTATTCTGGAGGTTAATTGACGATATTCACGTTCAAATTGTAGGAGTTGAAGAAACTTCACTGAACAATTTCAAGAAGAGAGGCCAATTTGTCTTAGATTCATTATGGTCGGAATCTGCAACCGCAGTACTGCCAAGAATATCATCAAATTCATATAATATTCGGGATTGGCGCAGTGGAAGAGCGTCCGTCTCACGACCGCAAGGTCATGGGTTCGATTCCCAGCACGGGCAAGGAACTTTTTTCAATATTTTATTTACGAATTAGATATTGTAAAGTTTCGAAGCATCGGCTGGGGATGGTCCTGCACGATTCGCTGTTGCGTTCCAAATTAACAGTGCTGCTCCTAAAGTGGCGCATGGAGTTAGTAACAACAGAACACGCAGGAAGATATGATGATGTGGTTGTGAGCATCAGAGAAGAAGTAGGACGGTATATGTAGGTGAGTGTGGAAAACTACCAGCTGAGCGAGAGAGCGGGCCAGCTGCTTAAGTAGACCTCGATCCCGGGGGTAAACGAGGATAGTTCGCAGGCCTGCCACTGCGCATATGGTAGTGAGTACATTAATAGCCTACAAAACACAGCAGAAAAACTCTGAAAAGAGAGCTGATGGGCGGTGCCTGAAAAGGATGTTAGCCAGCTCTCTTGAGCGAACCACATCAGTCATTGAAAACACTTGGGGTTTGCAAAAAGGTCCCATTGGGGACTAGTTGCTGACGTGGAAACGTCCTCCACCAGTACCAGTACCAGTATATTATATATGGATTCTATTTCTTTTGCTTCCTCAATTTAAGATACAATATCTGACTCACACGCATATATTTTCTTCTCTGGGTGAAAATACTCACGACCAGTAAATGTACAAAAGCATGAGAATAAAACGAGAACTGACCGAGCAAATGGATGACCCTGGGCTTCGATAAAATCGATGATCAAGTATTCCTATTCTTTACGCTATACGTATATAATTAATTCTTTTAATTATTGATTCCGAAACTTGAAGGCTTTTATTCATCTTGCAATGTATGGATGTATGTTGGTTCGGGTGGAATCTTTGAACTCGATTTTGAAGTTGATATCTTCAACCGATTGAGCTGAAACTTTGTATACACGTTTAGTTTGGATGACAATGCACAATAAAGTGTGTGAGGTTATTCTGAATCGAATATGGCGAAGCATTCGAGATAGCGAAATAGTTATTTTTTAGGCTCTCCTACAATATGGGTATCAAATGGAAGTGCTCGTTAGGAGTTACTCGGAAAATAATGTGACGTTATTCTGAATCCAATATGGCTGACCATACAAGATGGCGAAATAGTTATCTTCAAAGAACTTCCACAATGAAGGTATTATTTCGAAGGAATAATGTGACGTCACTTCAAATCCAATATGACGGACCATCCAGGACGGAGTAATAGTTATTTTAAATGCACTTCTACAATATGAGTATCGAATGAAAGGGCTTGTTGAGTAACTCGAAAAATAATGTGACGTCATTCTGAATCCAATATGGCGGACCAACCAAGATGGCGAAATATTTATTTTTTCTGTGACGGGAAAAAAGTTTGGCATTCCATCTCAGTTGGCAGGTTATAAAATGTCACTTTTCATAAATTACTTTTTTCCCATGAGAAAAAAGTGAGTACTTTTTTCCCGGATATATATCACATATATATAATCTGTTAATGGCTTTTGTTGTGCTATAGTTCCGAAAAATGAGTCAATAATACCGTCTCCGAGAAAGAACTGCACGTCCTTTTATCTTCCATTCAACTTCGCGGTTTCGTATATTACTAAACAACTACTGAATTCGCAATTTTGTAAAATCAAATCACAGAATTAAACTGACAGAAGTGACATCAGATATTTGATTACTTCAAAAGAATGATGAAGATGCCTATAAAACTCAGGTGTCCCTACTGTTAAAAACTTGAAATTTCACGTCGATAATTTTCAGATTTCGAAATGAAGTAATATCTTCTCAATATTTATTCGTCCTTCCTTCTGTCACAGAAAAAAATAGTGTATTATACACGGGAAAAATATTAGATTTTAGCTCACGGTTTTTTGTCTCCCTCCGCTACGCGTCGGGAGACAACACAACCTGGAGCTAAAATCTACTACTTTTTTCCCTTGTATAATAAATAACTATTCTTATTCACTTCTACAATATGGATATCAAATGGGAAGGCTCGTTGAGAGCAACTCGGAAAACAATGTGACGTCAGCCTGAATCTGAGATGGCAGAATAGTTATTTTTTATTTTCTTTCACAATATGGTATCACATCAAACGGCTCGTTGAGAGTAACTAGAAAAATATTGTAACGTTATTCTAGATACGAAATAGCGGAACTCCCAAGATGGCCGAATAGTTCTTATTCATGTACTCCTGCAATATGGGTATCAAATGAAAGGGCTTGCCAAGAATAATGAGAAACAATTCGATATCATTCCCAATCCAATATGGCACACTGAGTCAGTGGAATTCCCAGCAAAATATAATCACGGAACCGCGGAACGAAGGATGCTGTCAGTTGTATCATGTTGGGCTTGTACAGTTCACAAAATCCAAGGTAGTACGGTCAACTACGCCGTTATTTACCAAGGCTCGAAGTTCTTTCCTGCTGGTCAAGCATATGTGGCTTCAAGTAGAGTTATATCATCAGACAGTCTTTTATTGAAGATAAAGAAAAAAAAAACAATGAAAATCCCAAAGTCTGTCGACCACAAAATCATTCAATAAGCGACGTGTTACTAGTTTCGGCCACAGGCCATCATCAGACACAAAATTGATGTAATATATGAGTACCTAAAATATAATGATAGACAATGTTATGGGGTAAAAAGAGTCATACAATCATATACTAACCTTATAACATATTGAGAAAAATTACAATTGAAAAGCTAAGTCCAAAAAATTCAGTTAACAGTCCAGCATATTCAAGTGGTTTTTAATCTGGAGAATGTCCAGTAAAACCAAATTAAAATTGGGTTATTGGCGAAGTACATCAGAAAATTATTATTCAAAAATTCTCTCACGTGAGATTCATCAAGAAATGCGAAAAGCAAATGGAAGCTGAGATAGAATTCAAGGGACCAGAAACATCATAAATCACAAGGAAATAAATAGTCAAAGAATGAGTGACACATGTCAAAGTCAACCGGAACTGACATGAAACTAATAACGGAGGTGGTGACACAGAATATGACACCGACAAGTGACGTCAATATGATGAATTAATTAACAATAACCAAAACAGAATCCAAATTTGAAACAATGAGAACGAGAGATTGAGAGAAGAATAACAGTAGATCAATCTGGGTTATGTTGATCATTGGAATTTCATAGTACGAAAAATGAGGTTACGTTCAAAGTTGGTTTGATCATTAAGACATGTGAAATTGGGATTGTTTATACATTTTTGAATTTCTAGCATTTCCAATAACGTAAGCTCATTTTTCGTACTATGAAATTTCAATGATCAACATAACTCAGATTGATCTACTGTTATTCTTCTCCCAATCTCCTGTTCTCATTGTTTCAAATTTTGATTTTGTTGTGGCTATTGTTAATTAATTTATCATATTGACGTCACTTGTTGGTGTCATATTCTGTGTCACCACCTCAGTTATTAGTTTCATGTCAGTTCCGGTTGACTTTGACATGTGTCACTCATTCCTTGACTATTTATTTCCTTGTGATTTATGATGTTTCTGGTCCCTCGAGTTCTATCTCAGCTTCAATTTGCTTTTCGCATTTCTTGATGAATCTCACGTGAGAGAATTTTTGAATAATAATTTTTTGATGTACTTCGCCAATAACCCAATATTAATTTGGTTTTACTGAACATTCTCCAGATTAAAAACCACTTGAATATGCTGGACTGTTAACTGAATTTTTTGGACTTAGCTTTTCAATTGTAATTTTTCTCAATATGTTATAAGGTTAGTATATGATTGTATGACTCTTTTTACCCCATAACATTGTCTATCATTATATTTTAGGTACTCATATACTACATCAATTTTGTGTCTGATGATGGCCTGTGGCCGAAACTTGTAACACGTCGCTTATTAAATGATTTTGTGGTCGACAGACTTTGGGATTTTCATTGTTTTTTTTTTTTCTTTAAAATCAATTGGACCACTTTGAGAAAAATGGATGATTTCTATGATTTCTTATTGAAGAGCTGGACTATTCGAAATCAACCAGCAAACGACCTTGCAACAATGATGCGCTGAATGAAATGAACAGACTGGGTTACCTAGTCAGCGATAATTGAGAAATAAAAAATAAAGCAAAAGAAGAGAAAAAAAAATATTTGTCGCGATGATCAAAATTTGATTAAATTTGAATCTAGAGAAACACAAGCTTCTATGATTATATATCGCGTGAGCTCAGGGAAAGGCGCATTATATTCACAACGTATGTATGAAAACCACAGCCACCGAAACGCTCAATATGCTATACAAAATAATCAGACGCATGTATGGTCATGAGAAACAGGCAGCACGAAAACATATAGT